TTCCACAGATAATTTGAAGGAATTATTTTTAGCTTCGTAGTTGTTAGAATTATGTTTGAAGTTTTCAAGCTTTCAAAAATTGAGTAAGTAATATCTGATACATTTGCTTAACTGCTGATACATTTGCTTAACTGGATTTAAATGTTACATTTACAGTTAACCCAAAGACAATTTATGAATTAATTAATCTCAATTAATCGGAACCGAAATGCCTGAGCTTGGAATAAAAAACAATTTTTTTAAGGCTAAAATTATTGTTCAATCTAATTTGTTCTTGCGTGTAAACGGCAAAATGGAGGGGAAATTTCTTTCTAAAAATGTTCTTCCACGGTAACCTCGTGATGCTGGAGCTGCTGCTCCATTGCTGTTGCAGGTGTGGGAAATACCTATTGGGAACTCCAAAATCGTTTTTCATCGGGCTGTCGAACTCGCTTGTATAGCGCAACAATTTCTATTGTTAAAAAGTAACAAAACAGCTTTCTTAAAGTTAGTGTCATTTCTAACGAAACCGCAGGCATCAATAAATTTTGTGTTAGTATGCACTGATTTTTACGTTAAACACATTCATTTGTTATCTATATATGTCACACAATGTTATTTTAATGATAATGGTTGCAGCTGTAGTATTTTGATATACTTCACATGTAAAGGTGAAAATAAATATAAATTCTTAATTAAACAAAAAAACATGATTAAATTACGAATAATTGATTAAACTCATCTGCTGCTTTCAATTGCTTTAGAATAATAATAGGAACATTCATATTTAACAGACACACACAAACACACGAGAAAAAAATTGAAAGAAAAAAAAAGAAAGCAGTTCTGACTGCTTTCTAAAATGAATTACTGTTGTATCCGAAAGTTACTTTTAACAACCACTCGTACATGACTCAGCGCTGATTTTTGTAAAGTTTCTCAAATGCTGTTTCTCAAATGCATTTCATAGTAGGTTACAGGACATCAACATGCAATTCTACACTCTGCAGAATATTTCCGATATTTAAGTAATAAATCGAACATCTATACTTCTGTACTGCTCAGTCATATCAAGACCCTTTTAAAGTCATATCTTATTTATAAGTTAAACAATCATATCGAGAACGTCATAAAATGTTATCTTACTATTCAGTTATTTCACAGATGCAGAATATCTTTAAATTTCTAGCATCTATTATACAATAATAGATATTTTCTTTCATAACGGTTGCCTTTAGTAATTCATGAAATTTACTAGAATTTTTGGTAATCAAATGTGGTTTTGGTTTATAAAATTAATCAATGTGATTAACGTTGCACGAATACAGTTATGAAAGTTATTATAATGTCGTACAGAAAGTTTATGTTATAATACAAAAAGTTTTAAGGGGTGTTGGAACCCCAAAATCTTCAAAAAATTGTGATTTCGAATTTTTGCATTTTCAAATTCTCTACACTTTTATCTTTTTAAAACTACAATTCTTTAATCTCTATGAAAATTATAACTGTAAAAAAATATAGTTTTAATTTGTCATCTACTGCTTTGATCAATGAGGATTTTTACATAAAAAAACGTTTTTCTCCAAACGTGATTTTTTTAAAACTCGATGTACCTTTTCTTAGAAACTACTGCTCACACGTGTCTAAACTTTTTATGGCTTATTTATTAGGTTCCCTAATATTTACTGAAATGAGCTTTTTTTAATAAACTTAGAAAATTTTTTTTTAAATTTTTTGTATGAGAAAAGTGCTAAATTTTACTATGCCTAACAAAATATTCTGTAATTTACTCTAAAATTCATAATGCTTCAAAAGCTCATTTCAGTATAATCAGATAGGTGTACATTAATTACAAAAAAAATTTCAAGGTCGTATCTACGGTAGATTTTGAGAAAAGGTACATCGAAAATGGCCAATTTAACATTGTCGGTATAGGAGTTTCTGATACCCCTTAAATAAATAATTGTCATTGATATGTTATCTTGGGGGCTTTGAAATGGGACTAGGATAGGTTTATACCAGGTGTGATCAAAAAGACATGCACGTTATAATTTTGATTTAATTTACTTAGCCAGCTATTTTATATTGGCAAATCTGTACTATCATTTTTCCCTTTCCTGCCAAAATGCAAATTAGCTCGTGTATGTTTAAATGAAGGTTTTAAATTGCTTAGACAGAGCGTGTTCTGCCTACTGAAGGCCACGTTACTTTTGCTATTCTAAGATAAGAGATCCTGTCTTCAGGGTTGCTTTATTCTTGCCGATAGTGCTTTCACGCCAGTGTAAGCTTAAGAGTTAACTTTTGAGGTTCATTTATTCTACGTAGAGTTTGGTTAGTAGTTATTTAGGTTTAGTTTTACACTGAATTTTCTATTTTGAGTTTTCTCCATTAATGCTGGCTAATTTGTAAACAACAGCTATGCTTTCAGTTCAACTTACTTAGTTTTAAATAAAAGCGTCTTTTACACTCATTCTAACGTTTCTCTTTTTATCTTTAGACATAGCAACAAGTCGTTTAGATTCTTCTTGAGGATAAGCCACAAGTTACAATTAATAAAAAGCGAATTCTTACGCAGTTAAGTGTCAAAAACTATGGAAATTGCAAAATGATTATTAATGACAAATTGCTTCAATGAATGGAACCCTTATACTCTTAAAAGTAATACATCACTTGAAATTTTATTCGTAATTTATAGCTTTACTAATTGCTTCGTTTGTTACAAAATGGTGATGAGTATTCTCGAGGAGAACGCCCTTTTAGGACTGAGCATTATTTCACAATGTATTCTTATAGAAAAAATGTTGAAACGTTAAAGATTCCTTCCCAAATATTTGAGAACCTAAGAGGACAACGATTTTCCTCTTGGTAATTTGATTTCGAGAAACTGGAAGCATTCATCATAGAAACGAAGAGGCTGCTGATCTCTTCGGAGTTCGGGCGTCCGAATATCCGAATAATGTGAAAAAAACCGGCTTAGGAATCAGATGCATTATATGGAAATGCCTTAAACCGTTTCTTGAATTCTTCCAGTTTCTCGAAAACAGGTCACCAAGTGGTAAATCATTGCCTTTTAGATTTAGAATTATTCAGGAAGATTTTTTTAAACTCTTCAACAATGTTTTCTGTAAAACTGCCTTATTAATCAATGCTCAATCATACAAATTCGTTCTTCTTGGGAAAAATTCCTCTTCGTCTTGCACCAAATAAACGATTTTTGAGAGGTAGTAGTATATACTGGAATTAAAATTTCACGTGATATATTACTTGTAACAGTCGTCCATTGACGCAATATGCCATTAATTCCCATTTTAAAATTCCCAGAAGTTTTGAAATTTGTGATATGTGGGACCGTTTAATCACACGGTATATTTTCAAGTTAGTTGCCATCTGATTTGTGATGTAATGTATTGCTCAAAATAATGCTTACATTTTTTGAATTTTAGTAACAAGAATATTAAAGACAACAAATGTTAACATTTTTAATCTCATATCTGAAAGTTTTAGATGTTCAAAATTGCTGCCATTTGCAGCAATATATCGTCTTAAACGCTGTAGAACAGAACGCTAATCAGAGGATAAGATTTCAACGGAAACGGCGCTGAGTTAACTGCTAGATTTTATATTCCATGTCAGCCAGTCCTTTCTGCTTACTAATGCACGTATTGAAACACCAACCTTGCACACTGATAGTTGGTCTCTTGTTGCTGCACCATCCTTCCTTTAGATCCCTTACAACTCCTTCTTCCACATGGTCGTCATGTAATATCGTTATTTTTTTACGTAATTATGGTGTAGTCTCGCATTGCACTTCGCAAAAATTCGAAATTCCTGGATAATCTTTTAAATTCCCTTGCGGTGCTTGGAAAAAAAAGTATTTACCTCAGCTCTTTAGTGCATACTTAATGCCCAATTTTTGGAAGATTGTGATGAAACTAAAAGCAATAGAATGCCAACAATGCACTTACACGTGATCAACGTAGACATTTCAGTTTCAAATAAAAAATGCTCATTCAGATTATCTTTAACAATTCCTCTAATGTTCAAAAAGTGAAAACTATGTTTTGGAACACGCTGCTTTCCTGGTTATTCAGCTATAAAACAAATTAGAGAAAACGCTGATCGCAACACATCACTATGTTTCAGAAAATCCTGTGAAATTACATACTTTTATCATCAAAATAAGCATTCAGTGCAGTATGTGGTTAGCTTTTCCAACTGGTAGTATAATTTTAGCAACAATCGTTCAAAAATTATCTTTCCACTTTATCTTCAGAACTGAAACGTTTCAATGACTCGAAAATTCTGTAATATTTTATTGTACCAATTGAAAAAAAATAATCATAAGGTTAACAAAAATACGAGTTACGAAAATATCCATTAAAGCATAGTAGTGTAAAAAGAGTATAAAAACTGAAGCATTAAAAAATTGCCCATTTTCTAATTTTTCTAGAAAATTTAGATTCGGTTCTTGAAATTATGCTTAGGAATTTCAGAATCGTCATGAAAGTTATCGGTATTTTTCGGTGAAGCCTTAAGTTACGTTGATGAATTCTATAAAAACTTTAATTATCCCGTAGTGAAAAGATGCAATATAAAGGAATTTCTTTTAAATGTTTTGCTATTTGAGAAAGTTTTCTTTTAAATTATTTGCTATTTGAAGCAAGATCTTTCTAAATATGGGTAAAGGAAATCATTAGATAGAATTTAGTAGCAGAAGAAATCAATATCTGAAAACTTACTTTTCTAATTTAAAAGACAATGTCTGATAATGGAATTTAAATTCAAATAAATATTCTTACTAGAAATAAAGTTTAATTGTATTTTACTTTATCTTCTGATTAAGAAATTACATGGGCAGGATGATAAGGTCTTTTACTCCAACTCCATAAAGATTCGCCAGTATCATTGGTGTACAAAATTGATTAATGGCTTTTATTTAGTAATGAAAGCTGTATCTTATAAGAATATTTAATAATGGTCTGAAAACGAAGGATTTAAAAATTCTCACTTATAAAACTTACCTTCGCAGGCTGACGTTCTTGGGTTTAGCCTATAACCTGGCGGGCACCGCTGAGTTAACTGCTTTTCCTTACATTCAAAGGTTCCATTAAGATTGATGCATTCCTGCGTTGTATGGTTACAATTGTGCAATCCCGCTGAGCATTCGTCGATATCTAGACAGAAAAGAGACTTACGTTAGAATGATGTCCCCTCCACGGAATTGTAGTTTTAAATAAAAAGAGCATAATATTTGATGCACATTATATTTTTATGCAGCTTTAAAATTTGATTCGTTACATGGTTAATGTATTAACAACCTTTTAGTACACTAAATGCCTTTATTGATTATGAAACGCTCTTACGTTTATGTTTATACATCGAGAGGCCAAAAATTATGGAAATGGTAATTAAGTATACCTTAACATGTAGTCAATACATTAATCACAAGAGGGATACCCGCGACCTATAATGCCAATATCAGTTTCAGAGTAGTTGTTTATTAAGCAGTCTGACTACCTGATGCCAGAAGGATTGGATATGCAGCACTTGGAAATAAAACAGGAATTCTGTTGCTCCACGGTAACCATGTGAAAAGTTTATTGGGAATACATTAGAGCTAAAAAATAAGCAAAAGACGCTAAAAGAAAAGGTACGAATGTAAAAAGAGGAGTTAAAAACATGCAATTTATATATGGGGTGCAAGTTGCATCGCTGAATGCAAATAGGCAACCAAAATTAGCAAAAAACGCAATCCCACAATCGAACCACAACAACACAAAAATGACATGGGGGACCTATGTGCCAGTTCGCAGGCAGTAATAGTTCCAGATAGGCAAAGAGAAAAAGCATGATCCGAAGATACTATTTGACGATGAAATGCGGTGGAAAAATGTCCGGATGTTCCAAGATATTCCACTGTTGCTAGAGAGCTGAATGTGCATTATAATGTCATCAGTAGACTGCGAAATCGTTACCAAAAGAATCAAAACCCATGTAGAAGACGTAGGTCTGGACGCTAAAGGATTACTACGACTTCAGATGATCGCTTCCTGTTGCTATGTGCAAGATGCCGTAGATCACTAATAGCACGACAGCTGCCGTCGAATCTCTCTGCTGCGGCATATCCCGCCAAACTGTGTCTCATCGACTGCATGAAGGTGGACTCTACGTCCTATGACTTTTGTTTTGTGTTCCTTTGTCCTCATTGCAGTTCAGAGAGCGACTGAATTGAGCCCGTGATTATTTATATTGGCTGGGATAGCAACAAACGGTCGCAGACTGTGGTGTTGCTGGCCGTGATCGTATAAAAGTAATTATACTAAGAGTATCAAATGCGAATTAATTCCGTGTAAAAGTTAAACTAAAAATTTAGTGGTTAGTACATTGCATGATTTTTAATAATAAGAATAAAATGACTTACCCAATAAGGCATGCATGAGTCATTATCTCTCTTTTAAATATACATTTATTAAATCACAAAAACACACATTTCTTGATTAGCCTAGATAAATCACAAAAACACACTTTTCTTGATTAGCCTATGTTCGATATGTTATAAGAAAAAAACACATTCATGAATGCCCTTCGGCATGTCCTACTCGTTAGTCCTACGGGACTGTCACAGCGTTCATTTTTACGGTATATTGCAATTCCTAATCTTGATGCATCAAAGGCACATTACTTATCAGCATCTTGCAAGAAGCTTAATTAATATGCAGTGCAATTACTCGTGATAGAAGAGATCAAATTTCTGGTAGATAGGCTTGAAATTGGCGCACATGGTCGTCACTTCGAAACATCCAATTGTCAGGATTATACACGTTGAGTCACAGCACAGGAACAATTTTTACCTCACAGCCTAATCAGTAAAGTTTACCTGAGTTCTTATATTCTTCGTACAAGAACATATTTTCTCCTCCATCTTATGAAAATGGACATCAGATCGAGTACATGTGGACGATGGCGAGAGCTGTGTGTGGAGTGTGTGTGGCCCGAAGGCCCACACACTCGTTAACACGACGACAGGCAGAAAGAGAAAGACAAAACCAGTCCTTCCAGTTTTTATCCACTGCGACGCACGTGGCAGGGGCGCGATAACGATTAAGAATCGATACAGCCACCGTGTTCACTGTGAGAATTCTGTGTTCTCACATTCCCTCCGGCCGAAGAAAAAAAAATTGTCCCATCACTGGACAAATGAAATCCCTCTCTGCTGGACACACTTGAACTTTCGTCTGCATTACATACACATTTCACACCAATCTTTACATCACTTTGCAAAGGCACTGCACTTTATCATTTCGTTGGCACTATATAAACATTTCCATTACATGACCACACAGTTGAGCTCTTCGTATGCACTATACACACATAATTCACATTAATTTTCACATTGCTTGGGAAAAAAAAACAGCACTTTAAACACTTTTGTGATACACATTTTTTTTTACATTCTTAAATTAGTATTATTCTTTTACGTACTCATGCATGTCTACTCTTACCTAAAATATCACCACAGATGTGATTCCATAAAAGAAATTTTGGCACTTATAGACATATAATTTATAACTTCACATGTGATTAAAAATCAATTTATCAATTACTAATGATTTGCATTATCAATTTGATGTTACTCCTCTTTAACCATTGTTTACCTTTGTTTACATTATCTCATTCTTTACATTTTAGAATCACATTCACTATTTCATTACTTAGCTACTTTTATCATTTGATCATATTCATTTTCACATATACATTTCATATACCAATATGTCATGACATTGTTACAAGCTACATTTGTATTAGATCCACTACTAAATTACATACCTTCAATTTGATTCAGCAGTAAGACAAGGAGATTTGAACCACACTCTTTTTTTTTTTTAATCTGCTACTACCTAGTAATCAATGAGACCCTGCATAGTACAATTCAATTCTTCTGGTATATGGACCAGCCAACTCTACCAAAATCGTGCAATTAGCGCTTTATTACACTAAATTGACCCATACCACACATGATCATCATTCATTATCTAGCTTGTACACATGCTACATTCTTATCATAATCACAAACTTCTTTACACTTTTTTTTTTTTTTTTTGATTTGCTGATCTACAATTTACAATTGTGTTACACTCCTAATCCTCATTTTGTGTTGAATCTATTCTTGAAGGCTTTTGTAAAAACAATTTACTTTACTTACGTGAACTTTAGTGGTTTTATTCTCTAATTGTATTATATAATTATCATTTCGTAGCTTTTTAATGATCTCATATGGCCCCTTGTATTTTGGATGTAACACCCTTCGATCAGTAAATTCCTGCATAAAAGCTTTATCCCCTGATTTCAATTCTGGATTTTCTTTCCTTTCAAATATTTTTTTGCACAATTAAAGTATTCATCCTCATTTAATTTTACTTGTTGCTTATCTCTACTCAATTGTTCCTTTAGTCTTTTGGAATATTCCTGGAAATCTGCTAATTTAAGAGGATCATTGCTATCTATGGGAGTATTTAATGTTCTACCAAAAAATAGTTCTGCTGGTGAAAATTGAGTTACAGAATGTTTAGCATTATTATAATACAGTTTAAACATCAGTACTTTTTGTGGCCATTCAAATATTTTGTTTGATATTGCTGCAATTGATTCTTTCATTACCCTGTGAACTCTTTCAATCAACCCATTGGACTGTGGATAATAAATTGAACTTTTTCTGTGTTCTATTTTAAGCGATTTTAAAAATTGATTAAATTCTGTGGAACAAAAATAGGAACCGTTGTCTGATAACAAAATTTTTGGAATGCCAAATCTGGCAAAATAATCATTTAAAGATTTTATGATGGATTGAGAAGTGCAGTTGTTTAACGGAACTGTTTCCAAATATCTGGAATAATGATCAATGATAGTGAGTACATAAAACTTATTATCTATGGATCTTGGCAGTTTACCAACTATGTCTATAGCTATCATCTCTCCAGGAGAGCAAGATCTTTCTTAGGAATTAGACGTGGCAGAGTGTTGTGAGGTCTAGACTTATTTTGTAAGCAATCTGAACAATTTTCTACAAAACTTTTCGTATCGCTGTACATACCTTTCCAATAATACTTTGCCTTTACAAACTCATATGTCTTTTGAATACCAAAGTGAGGCGCATGAACTGTCTGTAATACATCTTTAATTAATGCCTTAGGAATTAGAATTTTATTCTGGATACTTCTGTCTTTCTTTCTAATATTTACAGGTTTTAATTTTATCATTACTACATCTGTATGACTATCAATAAAATATTGTTCTACACTTTCTTTGTGGTTATCCTGTAATTTTTTTATAATTGATTTTATGTCTGGATCACTTTGCTGTTTACTAATTATGTTTTGAATAGACAAATTATCATTGGTCCTTAAATATATTTACATTGTTTACCACTACATCCTCTGAAACTCTTGACAAGTAGTCTGCTGGGTTTTTTAAACCAGGAATATGCTCCATCGTGTATTGAAATTCCTGTAAATATAACAACCAACATGCTACAATATCTGGCTGTTTGTCAAGACTAATATGGAAAGTCAGAGGTTTAGCATCCGTTAATATTATAAATTTTTTTCCCATACAGATGTTCGTGAAATTGCTTTACTGATCTGAAGATTGCATAAAGTTCTCTCCTAATTGAAGGATATCTAGCCTCAGCAGGTGTTTAAAATTTTTGAGTAAAATTGTACTGGGAAAAACTTATCATCATTTTTTTTTTGCATTAATATGCCACAAATGGCTGATCTAGAAGCATCGGTTACTAAATATAAAGGTTTATCATTTTCTATGTTTTTTATTGTGGGTTTTTTTCTAAAATTAATTCTTGTATTTTATCTAATGCATTTTGGCATCTCTCGTTCCACACGAATGGTATATTCTTTCTTGTTAAATTTACTATTGGCTTGACAATTTCTGCATAATTAAAAATTAAGTGTCGAAAATAATTTACCATGCCTATGAATGTTTGAACCTCTTTCACATTTCTTGGCCTAGGAAATTTGGCTACTTTCTGAATATTCTCCTCTGAAGGAGCAAAACCATTCTTATTAACCGAAAAACCTAAATACGTAATCTCTTGTTTACATAACTGCAATTTGGCTGGGTCTAATGTTAAATTAAATTTTTTTAACTTGTCAAACACCTT